TAATGGTGGATACGTATCATTATGAATTCAATCAATCCATAATATACAGTACCAAGAGTGAATCCTAATGTAAAATATGGACTTTGGGTGATAATGATGTGTTAATGTAGGTTCACCAGTTCTAACAAATGTACCTCTCTGTGGGGAGATGGTGACAACTGGGGTTGCTGTGTACATGTGTGAAGTGGACAGGAGTGAGTATGTTGGAAATCTGTACCTTTTAGTCAATTTCACTGTGAACCTAAAACTGCTCTAAAAAATAAAGTCTACTTAAAATTTTCTTTTAAAGGCTATGAAAAATTTAACAAATGTCAAAATTTTTTGAAAAAAGATTAAATGTGTTACTACATGAGATGTGTTTAGATCAGTGCCTGGCATCTACTAAGTGTCGAGTGACTTTTTAGCCATTATTATTGCTGTTGTTACTATTACTAAAATTGTCATTGTGGGCCAGGCTTGGTGGCTCACACCTGTAATCCTAGCACTTTGGGAGGCCCAGGCGGGCGGATTGTTTGAGCTCAGGAGTCCGAGACTACCTTGGGCAATACGGAGAAACTTTGTCTCTACAAAAAATACAAATATTAGCCTGGTATGTTGATGTGCACCTGTTGATTCAGCTACCTGGGGGCCTGAGGCAGGAGGATCACTTGAGCACAGGAGGTTGAGCTATGATTGTGCCACTGCACTCCAGCCTGGGCAACAGAGTGAGACCCTTTCTCAAAAAATAAAAATAAAAAATTTTTAACAATTATCATAGCAAGTAATCCTTACCAATATACAGAGAGGTGGTTATTACCTCCATTTTATAAAGGAGAAAAGGGAGACTCAGACAGGTTAAGAACATTGCTTATAGTCATACAGTTAGTGCTAGCATTGGCATAAGACTTTTGACTCAAATTCCAGTATTCTTTCCACCACTCACCCTACCTCTGCAATGAGGAGTTTTAAAATAAAAGTATCTGAATCAGCAAAGACATCTTCCTTACATTTCTAACTTCCAAGTGGCATAACTATGTAAGTAAAATAACTTTGATCAAAAACAGCACCTCTAGAGATGGCTACTTAGAACAGAACACCATTAATTGATAGGCATTTAGTTCAGATAGGGCAAAGTCCTATAAAGTACTAAACCTCTTGCTGAGTCAAGTAGCTTAGGAAGACTGGCAGATTGGAAAGAAAGGGCACAAGATCAGGTGTCAGAAACTCGGGTTGAATCCTGACTCTCTTTCTCACTGCTCTGACCTTATGGACAAGCTACCCAAACCCTCTCTACTTTAAGTGATGGTTGTGAGGATTAAATAAAATTATGCATGTTAGTGCAATGTGAACTACAGAGCTCTGGAAAAATATAAGCTATTAATTGTCATTACCACAATCCAGGTGCCAGTAAAATCTGTTTCTTATTAACGTAAACTCAAAAAGTGTCCAACCTTTTTGAAATGCTCTGTTAACAGATAAGTGAACCTGAATGAAATTCCTCAGCATTATACATCATTTCCATTCCTAGAAACATAAGCTAAAAAAAGAACACAGAGATGTTCACATAGAGACTCCAGCTCCTTTTTCTGCTTGTGGAACTCTGAAGACTATTCAAATACTACATTCTTTCATCTCCTAAGCCTCCATGTAGAAACCAGATGAGAAATATTTTCACTGCGGTGTGGGGTGGGGGCAAGACCCACCATTTTCATTGAACTGCACGGCTCTTAATTAGTGTAAATATTTGGTTCCCTAGACATTGCAAAAACTAGAGAGAGAGTGGGCTCATTTCCATGAGAAAATGCAGTGCCTTTCACTGTTGGCTGCCAAGCCGGGCAAAAGAGAAATCTGCAAGTCTAAACTTTCTCATCCAAATAACCAAACCATGAATTTCTTCACTTAGGTGGAGAACTGAGAAAAAAGGGAGTGATAAGATGAGTGACTTCGTGTCAGCAGCTACCAAGTGGGCTTCCTCTCTGCAACAGCCCCTTCCACCCCCATATTACGTGCTCATTCACCTGCATCATTCATCATTTGTCTTGACTACAATTCTATTATTCTGGTTCACACAACTTAAAATAGCTTTCCAATATCTAATTAACTCATATATTAATTCCCCAACTACCTATAAATAAAGAAGGTCTAGTCCCCAGAGAGTTAACTGGCAAAGTCTCCTGCCTTCTCTCTGCTTCCAGAAAGCCTAAAGTCAGACTGTCAACCCTCAGGTAGGGAACTTGAGGGTCAAATTCTAAAAACCCAAATATCTCCAGGGAAAATGAACCAAACGCTGACATGTTTGAGGAGCCCACCCTCTTCCACACATAACAGATTAAGCAGAAAAATCTGGCTTGCAATTTGGTCACTCCATAGTGAGACCCAGCAATAGCCAAGCAGTCCTGGGCGAGTGTGGTGGCTCATGCTTGTAATCCCAGCACTTTGGGAGACTGAGGCGGGTGGATCACTTCAAGCTATAAGTTTGAGACCAGCCTGGCCAACATGGCAAAACTCTGCCTCTACTGAAAACACAAAACTTAGCAGGCATGGTGGCCCATGCCTGTAATCCCAGCTACTTGGGAGACTGAGGCATAGAATTGCTTGAACTCAGAAGGCAGGGTTTGCCGTGAGCCTACACCGTGCCACTGCACCCCAGCCTGGGACGACAGAGCAAAACTCTGTTCAAAAACAAACCAAAAAGACCGAGCCATTCTTATACACACAAATACAAATCAGCTTCCTCTCTCCTCATATTCAAATGCAAGTCTGTTGCCAAAAATTAGCAAAGGCGTGAAAATAGTCAGTAAAAGGTGAGATTCAGGGAAAACAGAGACAATGCAGAGAGCAGAGTAATCTTAAATATAAAAACAAAGAAAATCTTCTCCAGATTGTTGTATAGGGGCTCCAGGAGAAAAGTCTGGGGACAGTGGGGTGGTAATATTATGTTTGAGCAGTCAGGAGATACATGTTCAACAAAGACTGGAGAGTTTAACAAAAAATAGCAATTGGTATTAGACAAAACTAAAGACAAGAGTTATGGCTGAGCAGGGTAGCTCACTCCTATAATCCCAGCACTTTTTCTGAAGAGACAAGGTCTTGTTATGTTTTTCCAGGCAGGTGAGGCCAGGAGTTCAAGACCAGCCTGGCCAACATGGTGAAACACCGTCTGTACTGAAAATTAGCTGGGTTTATTAATCCCAGCTACTCAGGAGGCTGAGACATGAGAATCACTTGAACCTGGGAGGCAGAGGTTGCAGTGAACCAAGACTGTACCACTGCACTCCAGCCTGGGTGACAGAGTGAGACCCTGTCTCAAAATAATAGTAATAATAATAATAAAGACAAGAATGATCAACACCAAGAGAAACGAAGGGCTATACAAGAAGGAACCATGATCATATTTGACTGTTGACTTAAGTGGAAAACATTTGTTTAAATCATAATGTTATAAACCTTGACTACTAATTTAACAAAATACTGTTAAGTAACTTTGATGAAGGTATAGATGAAAACAAATTGTGTGGAGAGTGAGAGAGTGATCATCTTTCTCCTAAAGTCAATAAATGAAAAAAGGTAGTAATTGCATATTTAAGAATAAAAGAAAAAATAGGCCAGGCACAGTGGCTTATGCCTGTAATTCCAGCACTTTGAGAGGCCAACTTGAAGCCAGGAGTTCAAGACGAGTCTGGGCAACATAGTGAGACCTAGTCTCTATAAAAAAAATAAAAATAAAAATAATTTAGCTGAGTGTGGTGGTGCATGACTGTAGCCCTAACTACTCAGGAGGTTGAGGTGGGAGAATTGCTTGAATACAGGAATTCATGGCTGCAGGGTGTTATGATTGCAACACTGCACTCCAGCCTAGGTGATAGAATGAGACCCTGTCTCTAAAAGAGAAAGAAAGAAAGAAAGAAAGAAAGAAAGAAAGAAAGAAAGAAAGAAAGAAAGAAAGAAAGAAAGAGAGAGAGAGAGAAAGAAAGAGAAAGAAAGAAAGAAAGAAAGAAAAGAGCAAATAGCAGGGAAGGTAAACAGCCAAAAGTGCAAAAGTGTTGCTTATTACAATATGGAAATATAATATAATACATAAATGTAATATAAAATAGGGAAGGGGGCTGAATGGTAGAGAAAGTCATGGTTATCTTTTAAAATAAGCCTCAGAATCCCACTTCAGCCTGGGATTGCAAGTGTGGGCCACCAAGCCTGGTCTAAAAGCACATATTTTGATGGCTAAAATTAAAACTAAAAATCTCTCTGACTGCAAGATGGAATCAAAGCTGGAGGTTGGAAGAATAAAGCTCAAATAGGTAACTAGTCCCAAACCAAGTCATTGAAATCACACACTTGTAAAAGCATGCTTTCCTCCCCCTTTTAATTAGACCTCTTCAAAAATCAGAAGTCTTACCACCATTGCTTTGATGTTACAAATAGACTAAAACATCTGATGGATCTTATAATTTCTCCAATTTATCACAGGGACAAAATACTTCTCTCGCTAATATTTTCGTAACTAATTAAAACCTTAATTTCTACTCTCTGCTGTCAGTCATGACAGTCTACATTAAATGCTTTATTTAGTCTAATCACACTGATATCCATTTGTATGCTAATATTTAGACATAATACTTGATGAATATCTAAATAAAGCATAACATTTTATCCCAACAAAGGTAATTCTTTGGAAAGACAGAACTGACTTTAAGCTTTAAAAAAATACATACCAATAAACTGATAGAAAGTATAAACCAGTTATAAACCTAAAACTTCTGCTAAAATGATTCCAAACCCTCTCACAATTTCCTTTGAAGTCCGGCTTTTATCCAGCACAAGCAACACACTCTGCTCCATTAATTTTAAGTATCTCTGAACTAGACAAGTTTAGGCTTAGAAATAATGAAGCTAGAACTACTCAACATATGCGCTCATGGATAATAATTGCTAATTGGTACACGCACAGTCAAACCCACTAATTGTGGTTTGCTTTAAAAATAGACAAATTGATTTAATAAAAAACCAGTTCAAACAGGGCATTTAGGAAGAGTAATTTGTTTACCTCTGTTGGTTTGTAGCAGTCTACAAGAGCTTCCTAGAATTAAACACACAGAAAGTCAGTTTTATTATTTTAAAATTCAATATTATTTTAAAAGTAAAATAAAATCATTTTATATTCATAGTGTTATTTTATAATGGTAAATCAAGATTTCATACTGTCTAGAAACATACTTCATTTCAACACCAGTTGGTTGTCTGAAGATATAAAACATTTAATCTTAATACATTCCTCACCTGCATACACACATACTACATGAAAAAATTTTGAACAGGAAAGATTTATTTTCTATACTATCATAACATTAAAAACAAAATGTAATCTTTGACCAGTTTTTATTTTTTTTTGAGACAGAGTCTCACTGTGTCGCCCAGGCCGGAGTGCAGTGGTGCTATCTCAGCTCATTGAAACCTCTCCCTCCTGGGTTCAAGCGATTCTCTTGCTTCAGCCTCCCGAATAGCTAGCACTACAGGTGTGCACTACCGCACCCGGCTAATTTTTGTATTTTTAATAGAGATGGGTTTTCGCCATATTAGCCAGGCTGGTCTCAAACTCCTGACCTCAGCTGATCCACCCGTCTTGGCATCCCAAAGTACTGGGATTACAGGCATGAGCTACTGCACCTGGCCCCTTGATCAGGCTTTGAATGCCTTGCTGAAGAAAAGAGCATCTTTTAAAGAAGTACAGGGATGCCCAAGCATCCATGACGTTGTAGACTTCAGAGAGATGTGGACTAACTTAGGAAGTCAAATCCAACTAAGTAACTAAAAACCTATCGTAGTAGCCCAAAATCCCAACTTAGTAGCTCAAAACCAAATCTGTGGAGATTTGGTTCTCCACAGGAACCAGATCCCACTCTCTAGTTTTCCTTTAATTAACTGGATATAACCCAGCAGGATCCAGATGGTTTCCAACCTACTCCTCTGGTACCTCCTCTGTATGCACATGCGCATGCACACATCTTTCCTTTGGCTTGCAACTTGGTGGATATTAAAGTTGGGCCAGCCTGTGCAAGATGGTGGCACCCACACTGCACTCAGGAAGCAAGGGGTTTAAAGGCATTGCAGCCATAAACGGCTTGGGTCCTCACCTGGGAACTGGAGGGCAGGGGGTGATGGCAGCTTAAAAAGCTTCTTTCAAGTTCTCAATTTTAAGAAAACTTTATTATGTCATTACATTTTCTATAGAATGGATACCTGCGTTATCTTTAATTTTTTTTTTTTTTTTTTTGAGACGGAGTTTCGCTCTTGTAACCCAGGCTGGGGTGCAATGGCGCGATCTCGGCTCACTGCAACCTCCACCTCCTGAGTTCAGGCAATTCTCCTGCCTCAGCCTCCTGAGTAGCCGGGATTACAGGCACGCGCCACCATGTCCAGCTAATTTTTTGTATTTTTAGTAGAGACAGGATTTCACCATGTTGACCAGGATGGTCTCAATCTCTTGACCTCGTGATCCACCCACCTCGGCCTCCCAAAGTGCTGGGATTACAGGCTATCTTTAATTTTTATAGCTAGGTTGCTATTGTCTCCCTCACTAAATCTACGAAGAAGAAATAATTGTCATAACTGAGACTGTTTACCATTCAAGGGACGCTAGTATGACTCATGCATTAAACACATTAATACATTAAAATGTACCCTTTGATTGCCATAGTGGCCATTTGCCATTTGTGGTCACCAACAGTCATTAGCAGTAATTATCAGTGGACATTAAGAACAATGGCAAGTTAAAGTTAACTGGTTTTAGAAACTCCAAAATGCAGATTTTAAAATGATAGATTTGACCTCCTGTGGGAAGGGAAATGAGTATCGCACTTTATTGCTCTCCACTAAGGAAATATCAGACATCTCAATATCCATCGCTGTACTGGAATGCGATGAGGTGAGCACTGTCTATGAGAAGATAGTCTACTAAATAGAAGCATGTCATAAGCAACCATATTTAGAAATTAATTTCATGAATGATACAGTCCACAACTGTGAGACCAGAGCCCTGGGCTTGGATATTCCAGTGCTAGCTCAGTCTCTTTTCTCACACAACTGTGGGGAATCACTTCCCTTCCCTGGCAAGGGGATCTTTGGAAGCAGAATCAGCTGTTTCTCCCAAGAAAATGAGGCTGGAGAAAGTGATGCCCATAAGGCGCTTTGAGAACTGACTATAGTCAAGAGCTGCTTTATCATCACAGAGGCAGTTTAAGAGGCTGAACACTTAGCTGCCCATTGCTTTCCTCTCTGCAAACAGCCATGGCCCAAGTCCTGGTGCCAACACTGCCATAGGGCGGAATCAGTTCATGCCAAGCTCTGGAGACTTAAACAGACTCTCAAGTATCCTTGATCAGAAGGTTCTCAATTTTGAAAACTGCTCACCTGTAACTTTGAAGCTCTCTCTTCATCACTGTCTGCATCAAGAAGATCATCAATGTCAATTTCTACCTCTGGCATTTCTTCTTCCTGGGGGACAGCAGGAGGATATGAAGGCATTTAATTTAGTTAGAAACCTAACTGTACCCCACCAGTTAGGTTAAGTTGAATAAACAATTAGATCATCAATCAAGAATGGCTGATGGATAAGCAGGGAGAAAGAGAAGCTAGGGGAGAGGAGGAAAGGAAAGAGAGGAAGGGGAAACAGATGAAAGGGTAAAGAGGAGAGGGGGAGAAGACAGGAAAAGGGAAGAAGGAATGGGGATGGAGGAAAAGGGGAATGAAGGAAGGAAGGAAAAGAGGGGAAGGAAGGACAAGAGGGAGGAGGGGGAACAAAGGAGAATTAAGAGTCACAAAGTAGTAAAAGTCATATTGCAAAAAATGAGAATTTCCTTCTTTCTAGCAGAAAGCTGCATCTGTAAGCATATAATGGGAGATTGGCAGGTGACAGAAAGAGCTGGGAGATTCCAGCTTCCTATCTAACAGCTACCCTTTGCTGGGTGATTACCTCAATCTCTATTTGGAGGTCTACGTCTTCCCTCACAGCTCTGGGTCTATGGAAAACCTGATTTCACCATGGGATTTGGGGCATCAGCATTGCCTTAGCCCCAGTTACTGATTTAATAGACAACACGTGGTCCAACTAAGAACTAAGGGGTCTCTGGGAAAAGGCGCTCTTTCAACAAGAATGTCCCTTTCACACCCTCTGAACTGAGGAAGTGTGTGGCACCGGAAATTGCCAGTGGCCCTCATACAACCCTGAAGAGAGGCTGAGTTTAGGATAAGGCTGACTCCACGGTGGGCAGAGCTGGAGAGAATAAGAAAACAGGGTTCTAGATAAAATCGCCACATCCCTGCATCAAACCACCTCTGAATCCTGCTTGTCAGTGAGTGAGTCAACCCCTTTCATTGTTGCAGCCCATGTGGGTCTAGTTTAATATTCCTGCACCAAAGACACCCAGTCCAGAAAATAGAGAAGAAGGGCCAGCTGGATTTCGTGAAAGACCTCACTAATTTGGAATCTGAATTTCAAACGAGATGTTGGCTATTTCTCATCTCTTCTGTTACCTAAGTCTTCTCTATACTTCTCAGAATAATATTTTAAAATGTCAAAATAAAAGAGCATTTAAGAGAGTCCTGCAGTTTTGCATTTCATCAGGAGTCACTGCATCCCAACTCCTTTCAGCCTCAGGGATGGCTGAGGAGGATCTGCAGGAAGGAGCTAGAGAGAAAGGTGTGCATGGGGACCCCAGGGACACCTGGGCATTCCCTGGGTGTGGCCTCTCTGTGTCTTGGCTTCAAGAGCTGTTTGTCTTGGCTTCCCGGGAAAAGCTGACTTTCCTTCCTACTGAAGTGCATTTGTACTAAATTCTGTGTGTGTGTGTGTGTGTGTGTGTGTGAAAACACAAAAGTAAGGACCCTAGTATACTGAGGAAGTCAAGGAATATGAGCACTATCCTTGCTGACATCAGCTACAAGGGCAGGTCCTCAACAGGCAGGAAAGTTCCAGAAACAACCTCCCTAGTGACTTATTCCTGTTTCTTTGGAGAATTTCTATTTAGATCCTTTGCTTGGCTCTTAAGCAAATAAATACTTCGAAAGCAGTATTCATCAACATGAATGTTTTAGATCTCATCTGTGCAGTTCTGCCTAAAGTAAGAAGCTTTTGTACTTGACATAATTTTCATATCTGTACTTAGCAATCATCTAGCTATTAATAGAGGCTGATGATGCAGAAACAGGAAGTTGAAATGCTTTGATGATAATAAAGCTGAAGGATGACCTTTCGGTGGCTAGGAGCATCGCTCTGCAAACATCACAGACTGAACATACACAAGCCTAGAGGGCCTGGTCTACCACACACCTGGGCTGTATGGCTGAAAACCTGGACAGCATGTTACCATACCGAATAATGCAGGCAACGGTAACACATGGGGAAGTATTTGTGCATCTAAACATGGAGACGGTAGCGTAAAAATAGGGCATTATAATCTTATGTGATGACTGTCATATATGTTGTCCATTGTTGACTGAAATGCTGTTATATGGTACGTGACTGCATTCTCAAGCTATACCACTGTGGCTCCTTAAATCACAGCTAAGGGAGTTTGGTGTCTGCTGTTTTTTTTTTTTTGTTTTTGAGACGGAGTTTCGCTCTTGTTACCCAGGCTGGAGTGCAATGGTGCGATCTCGGCTCACCGCAACCTCCACCTCCTGGGTTCAGGCAATTCTCCTGCCTCAGCCTCCTGAGTAGCTGGGATTTCAGGCACGCGCCACTATGCCCAGCTAATTTTTTGTATTTTTAGTAGAGACGGGGTTTCACCATGTTGACCAGGATGGTCTCGATCTCTTGACGCTGTGATCCACCCGCCTCGGCCTCCCAAAGTGCTGGGATTACAGGCGTGAGCCACCGCGCCCGGCCCAGTGTCTGCTGTTTTTAAAGGAAATGAAAGAACAATTAGTAACTAAAGCCCTCCTCAGAACAGCGCAGCAATAGGTTTCCCTGCAAACATTATTCAAATCGTTTTGATGGCAGCCAAGTTTGGTCAAACAGGCTTTGACTTGCATAGCCGTGTAGAGCCTCACCCTACACAGTAGGCATCTTCGATTAGGCATCATCTCCTTAGGACTGTGCATGCTCTCTGTTAGGTATTGCACTGACCCATTTTCCCCAACCCTTGAGATCTGGGCTGTCCAATATGGTAAGCACATGTGGTAAGCACATTAGAATACATTAAAATAAAAGACAATTCAGAATTCAGTTCCTCAGTCGCAATGGCCACATCTCAAGTGCTCAGTAGCTACATACGGCAAGTGGCTGCTGCGCTGGACAGCACGGATGGAGAACACCTGCACTGTGGCAGAAGCTCTATAGCACAGCGCTGCCCTGGAGTACACTCACTCTCTGGCTGAGGAAGTTGGGAAGCAAAGCCCCTTCCCCTCTCAAAGGGGCTTGGCAGGAGTAAAGAAAAAAATTGCCAGGCATCTCAAGGTCACTCCCACTACCCAAGGGCATGTGGTGACAAACCCTGAGTTTGGCCTTGCAAGCCAGAAAGCTGATGCCAACAAAGCCCAGATCTCAAGGGTTGGGGAAAACCTCAAGTGATTGAGTAATAACAACAGTCATTAGGCATCGGCGCTTTTTACCAACCTATGCGCTTCTCAGAAAGCCCACCCTGATTTATCAGAGGCATAGGAGGAGAGAGGCATTGTGCTCCCAGCGCAGCATGCACCCCAGGTGTTTGAATGTCAGTGGGGCTGAAACAAAATCCAGGTGAGAAGAACACAGAGACCCAGAGGCTCTTCGGGGAGAGTCCTGGGAAGCAAAGACAGCACCTTTTACTGAGTAGAGAATCCTGTAGATTGGTACTTAATATTCTTGGTTTTTTTTTTTTTTTTTTTTTTTTCAGAGATGAGGTCTTGCTCTGCTGCCCAGGCTGGAGTGCAGTGGCTATTCACAGGCGCAATCCCACTACTGATCAGTAAGGGAGTTTTGACCTGCTCCGTTTCCAACCTGGGGCAGTTCACCCCTCCTTAGGCAACCTGGTGGTCCCCTGCTCCCGGGACGTCACCATATTGATGCCAAACTTAGTGCGGACACCGGATCAGCATAGCACACTACAGCCCAGAACTCCTGGACTCAAGAGATCCTCCAGCCTCCTGAGTAGCTGGGACTACAGGCATGCATCACTGTGTCTACCGGTACTTAATATTCTTAATGAGAAGTATGGAAATATTCTAAATTCAATTGAAGTTCTATTTAACTTCCTCTTCTGTATGCTGGTCTTAGAGCAGTATCACTGAAAAACCTTAGTGATAGATCAAATCACTTACGAAGGAGTGAACACGCCCATCGCCCACCACGATGTCCCAGAGCTTAGCTGTGTTTGGGCATTTTCCCACATTAAAGATGTGTCCCTAAACAGTGGCCCTGGTGACAAAAAGGGGAATAATTATCTTCAGAGCTGCTGGGGAAAGTTACCAGCTACACCCTACCCCACATTACTGAGAGGCCCTCTTGGGAGCCACAGCATAAGGTCCTGGATCACCTCTAGGCATCTTTCTGGTCGTACCTTTGCTGAGAAGCCACAGTCCACGGTGTGCAAGGCACTGTGTGTCAGCCACAGTGAGGCCCTGGCCCTGGCGGATGGGCCATCTAAACACAGCTCTGACAAACACAATGGCAAGCAATGGCCCCAAAGCCACAGACAAACCCGAAGTGCTTTAGTTATTCAGGGAGAGAGAAAACTCTGCTGTAGGCAGGCGGGGAGGTTTCACATAGGAGGGAGGAGGTGAGCTGGCCTTGTGCAGTGACAGGATTTGGACAGGTTTAGAGGGAAGGGAGAGCACTCCCAAGAAGCAAAATGGTAGCAGGAAGCAAAAAGACAAGACGAGTTCTAAATATGGGTTAGAAACGTCCTTGGCCTGGAAGCCGGTCAGCCCTGGGCTGCAAATATGAATGTCGATGGGGGCCAGACAGGTGACAGAAATGGGGCAGGCTGGGGGGCTATATGGTAGAGTGAGGAGTGCAGCAAACTGCAGAAAACACTCCTTTCCCACCTCCTGTCACCTTTTAGGAATATGTGCTTAGTGCTGCTGGATTTTCTAAGTTTTCAGGAATAACTAAAAACAATAGTTTTAAATGTAAAACATTCCAACTTTTAAAGCTGCCTGGCAACTTCTTAAAATGTTGTGTAAGATAAATAAAACCCACTGGCCCACAGACTGGGGTTTCCCCTTGTCCTGCAGAGACTGTCACCACTAAGGGCTCCATGGCTCCAGAACAAGAGAGAGGAAGGACAGAAGGAAGAGCTGGCCTGCTGCCGAGCCTGGGCTAACGGGGAGGAGGCAGGAGGCTGTGGGAAGGCCACGCATCAGATGCAAAGCCACAGGCCTTGAAGGCAATCCTAGCTAGAATAAAAATCAAGCCTGTAATCCCAGCACTTTGGGAGGCCGAGGCAGGTGGATCATGAGATCAAGAAATCAAGACCATCCTGGTCAACATGGTGAAACCCCATCTCTACTAAAAATACAAAAAATTAGCTGGGCATGGTGGCACGTGCCTGTAATCCCAGCTACTCAGGAGGCTGAAGCAGGAGAATTGCCTGAACCCAGGAGGCAGAGGTTGCTGTGAGCCAAGATCGCTCTTGCACTCCAGCCTGGGTAACAAGAGAGAAACTCTGTCTCAAAAAAAAAAAAAAAAAAATGAAGATTTTAAAACAGTGATAATAGGGAGGAATAAACAGACTGAGTTTGGAGAGGAGCTGGATGAGCGATGAGGGAGAAAGAAAAGGTAAAGAGAAGATCCAGGTTCTGAGCCTGAGAGGTTTTAGAGAAAGACAACAATGACGGGAGCACACCGGGGCCCTGAAGACAGCTCACAAACCAAGATGCAGTGCAGGCTTTGGCCATCACCAGCCCCCTGCCCCAGTTTGCAAGCAGAAGCGTGATCCCCACACTGCCACACTCAGGTAAGAGCCACCGAACCTGCCGCTGGGCTTGCCATGGATGGCGGTGCAGAACAGGCTCAGGCACCAGGATTCAGAAATGTAAGCAAAGCAGAGTCCCAAAACACAGCTGGCCTGTAGTGACAGCATGCACACACACACACACATACACATACAAAGATATATACACACACTCCACACCACTCATACACACACACATATACAAGTAAACACACAGGTGTATGCACACATAAACATACACACCTCCCACACCACTCAGTCACATGTACACATATACACACACACACACACAAATATACACACACACGAATACGCACACTCCACACCACTCATACACTCACATGTACACACACGCACAAATAAATACACAGATATACGCACACATAAATACACACATTCCCCCCACACTACTCATACAGTCATAGACACACACACATATACACACATACACAGATATATACACAAGTATACACACATGAATACACACACTCCACACCACTCATACACTCACATGCACACACATTTACAAATAAACACACAGATATACACAAACATAAATATGCACACCCCACACCACTCATACACTCACATGCATACAATACACAAATATATTCACCCACATATGCACACATAAATACAAACACTCCACGCCACTCATACACTCACATGCACACATACACATTTACAAATAAACATACGGATACTCACATAAATATACACCCCCCACACCACTCAGTCACATGCCGACACACACACACATACACACACACGCACAAATACACACAAAGATATACACACACATAAATCCACACCCACACACCACTCACATGCAGACACACACACATACACAAATAAACATACAAATGTACACATACATAAATACAAACACACCACTCAAACACTCACATGCAGACACACACACATACACAAACACACAGATATACACACACACTTCTAACTAGCCAGAAAGTTGACACTGTGAGCCCTGTCCATTGTCATGCTAGCTTTTAAAATATACAAACACTTACCCCTGTCCACAGCAGTGAAGGGAGTGGGCAGGAATATTCAAGCTAAAAGTTCACTTGAAAATGGATCACAGTCTCCAAACTCTAGGAGACACAGCTTAGTAGCTCCCTTGAAATGACTGTGGCTAACAGTTCTCATCCACCTCCATCTCAAAATAGGGACGGTGAAGTCACATGGGACTAAATTCCTGTGCAAACAGTGGCAGCTGACAGAGAAACATGGGTAGCAGGGGTGGGGAGTGGCAAATGCCAGCTTGTTTTGGGCTGTTCAAACACTCATCTGAAGAATAGCCACAATTTCTTATACCTCACCTTTCTATAAGCCTGTGGGAGAAAACTGGCATGTAAATTTTTTACATTCAAAAATTCTATTTTTAGTTATTTCTGAAAACTTAAAAAATCCAGCAGCACTGAGCACATATTCCTAAAAGGTGACAGGAGGTGGGAATGGAGTGTTCCCTGCTGCTTTTCCATGGGCTGTGTTTTCTTCAGTTTGCCGTACTCCTCACTCAACCGTATAGCCCCCCCCGCCTGCCCCATTTCTGTCACCTGTCTGACCCCCATTGACATTCATATTTGCAGCCCAAATATGACTGGCTTCCAGGCCAAGGACCTTTCTATACCTCCCATGCCAGTTTTCCCCTAAATTGTTAGCCACAATTTCTTATAGCTCACCTTTCTATAAGCCTATGGGAGAAACATTTCTACATAGAAAAAGAACTGGATCTTTGGGATTGTGTGAACTCTCTGGAAATATTTACATCTCATGTTTACATTTTAATGACAATCCACAATAATTCCTGTAAGAAGCGCAATCTAAGAATAGCCTGGACAGCCGTGCTATAACCACTCTGTGCCAGGCTGCTCCATGTTTACACGTTGGCATCAAGCAGAGTTATGTTGACTGTTGTGGCTAATGAGAAAAAAGCCACAGGGTAGATTTAATATATAAATGACTCATTCACATCAAGTGAAGTCAAAGGCTATCACTCAAAGGACACTGAGCTACAGAATCTGCACCTCATTCCTGTGACAAAAGGAGTGAAGTCAGCCGCCACAGCAAATGGATGTTGTGCATTTGAGTTTCATCAGCTGGGCACTATGTTTAATTTGCAATTTTGACGTGATTTTTATAACCATAGCATAACAAATTCATATCCAGTTTTAAGTGGTACTTAAATAATTTAACATTAAATATCTAAATCAGCCCTGGAATCTGCAAAAAAAAAAAAATTCACTTAACAAGGGGCCCAACCTACCCTATAACACATCCCTATACAATGTCAGAACGCTAGGGATAAAAGGAGAATCCTGGAAGCTTCCAGAAGAAAACTAGACCACACATGGAAGACAGAGGACTAATGCCAGGGGGTTTCCATATAGCAACAGAGCATGGAAGCCAACAGCAAGGATTCCAGAAACCCAAGACACAAGCATTTCCTCAAGGCCTGCATCCTCCCTGTTGTGGTTTGGATGTGGTTTGACGCCTCTGAAAGTCAGAGTGAAATGTGGTCACCAGTGCAACAGTATTGAGCAAGAGGTGGTGGGAACTTTCAGAGGTGATTAGGTCATGGGGGCACACCCTCGTGCATGCATTAGCACTGTTCTCTAGAGACTGGGTTGGTTCTCATGAGGCTGGTTGTTAAAAAGTGGGTATGTCCCCTTTGCCCCATCTCGTTTTTCAAGGCTCACCTGCCCTTCCAGTTTTCTGCCACACTATGACACAGCATGAGGGCTCTCGCCAGAAGCCAACCAGATGTGACCCCTCAACCTTGAACTTCCCAGGCCTTGAGGTTGGAAATTGTTTCCTCTTGGGACTCTGGAATCCTTGCTCTTGGCTTCCCTTGGGAAGCCGGCTGACATTGATTATCTTCTCCAGAACTAAAAGAAATAAATTTCTTTTAGTCTGTAGCCTTCTATCACAGCAGCAGATAATGAACCTAAGACATTCCCAAACTGTCTATGAAGGATAGAGAAAAAAAATAGACATTTTAAGACACATTGGATCCTACATCTTCATATATTCACCTCCCATTTTGGGAAGGAGTGCTCCAGCAAAAGAGAAATAAAGTTTGATTTTCTTATATCCTCTATAATTGTGGCTCATGAAGGCCAGAGAGCATGTCCCAAAATCGAGACTGAGGAAGGTACATGGGACACCAGAGTGAAGAACAAAGCAGACGGAGGCTTGACAAGCTGGGGAGCATGCAAGGCGTGCAGAGGAGCCTGCGATGCCAACCGAGGGCCCAGCCCCACCGGGCACCCGTTTGCACAGGTGACCGGCCATTTAGAGTGGCTGGGGTTGGATGACCTCACCTTGGGCCTTTAACAGAAGTAGCATGGGCAAACAAGCATATGCCTTTCCAGTGGGATCCCATAGTACCAGTATTTCCCTAATACACACTTGTTTGAAAAGTTAAACAAAGGGCCAACGCTCGCTTAGAGCCAGAGAGCAAAGTCCTCCTAAAGCCCCATTTAAAAACATCAAAATAGCTTGACTGAACCTGACTCCATGGTGAAGTGAAGAAATATTTTGCATAATATTTAAAGGAATCGCCGTTCTTGTCGCCCAGGAGAGCAGGTCCTGACCTACCTATATCCTATGAAGGTTCACTTCTGGGCCACTGACGCAGATGCTAACGACAGCTGCAGAAAGGAGGTCTCCTGGCAGGGCCATCCCCGCGTCCCACATAGAAAGCCTCCCTTTCCTCCTGCTCATGAAGACACACCGAACATGAGTGAGCAGGAGTGGCATTATCTCACAAATCAACACTGGGAAACAAACACCAGCTCTCAGACATGAAGATTCACATCCTGGGTTAGGTCAGATTGTTCTAGAACTAGGCACATCTACATCAGCATCTCAGAACACCAGGGAAACCCATGCAGCCCGGATGTACTGAACACCTACTACCTGTCAGGTGCTGTCTTAGATGTCAGGGATAAGGAATGAACAACTGGCAAAAACATTTGCTCTCGTGGGATTAAACCCTAATAGGGGAAGACAGACTATAAGTACAATCAGTGTGGCAAACGGTGATAGATATTTTGTAGAAAAATTAGGCAGGGGAGAGAGATAGGGAGTAATGGGGCTGGATTTTTCTTTTTTTTTTTTTGAGACAGAGTTTCACTCTTGTTACCCAGGCTGGAGTGCAACAGCTCTATCTTGGCTCACCACAACCTTTGCCTCCTGGGTTCAAGCAATTCTCCTGTCTCAGCCTTCCAAGTAGCTGGGACTATAGGTGTGCGCCACCATGCCCAGCTAATTTTTGTATTTTCAGTAGAGACGGGGTTTCACCATGTTGACCAGGATGGTCTTGATCTCCTGACCTCATGATCCACCTGCCTCAGCCTCCCAAAGTGCTGGGATTATAGGCGTGAGCCACTGCACCCGGCCTGGGGCTGGAATTTTAAATCAGGCAGTGACAGGGTAAGGCTCAGTGAGAAAATGTCTGATTAAAGACATAGCATTAAGGGAAAACACTGTGTCTGAGAAGCTGCCAGTTGCCCAGGGTCAGTCTAGCAGAGTTGGGGCCATGGCGGGGGAAGGGACAGAGCATGTGGAGACTCAGAGACCCCGGTAAAGCCTCTGACTTGTGCCGTGAGTGAGAGTAAAGCCATTGCGGGTTTGAACAGAGGGATGATGGGTTATAATTTATCTGTTAGGTCATATGTGAAAAGATCACTTGAGAGGTCACAGAAATAAGCTGGTAAGGTATAGCACTGGCTTCAACTAGGGGGTAGCATGATATATATTCTTTTCCCTCCTTTTCTCCCTTCCTTCCTCCCTCCCTCTCTCCTTCCCTCCCTCCCTTCTTCCCTCCGTACCTCCTTCCTTCCCTTTTTCCTTCTTTCCCTCCTTCCCTTTCCTTCCTTCCTTCCTTCCTTCCTTCCTCCCTCCCTCCCTCCCTCCCTCCCTCCCTCCCTCTCTCTCTCTCTCTCTCTCTCTCTCTTTCTTTCTTTCTTTCTTCTTTCTCTCTTTCTTTATTCTTTTTTTCTCTCTCTCTCTCCCAGGCTGGATTGCAGTGGCATGATCTTGGCTCACTGCAACTTCCCAAGTTCATGGGGAAGCAACAGGTTCAGGTTCGGTGGCAAAGCAACAAGGCACTAAGCTGAGGAGGTCTTTTCTACGTCCTGAACCCACCCACCAGGCAGGAGTCTCTTTTCTACACACCAGGGAGGTTGCTCCTCCTCTGTGGGGCTGCACCAGTGTCACTGGCACCCAGCGCAGGCCTCGTTCATCCCCCAGATCTCTCCCCTATGTTAAGCAATTAATTTTAGCAATGAATATCTCTGGAGAGATTATCAGAGTGCTCCGGACACAGTTAAAAAACAACAACAACAACACTGAGTTGGGGCAGAGTGGTGTTCTACGCCCAGCCTTGGTCTCAAAGGGCTCAAGAGGCCACTTCCTTCTGCAATGGGAGGACTCTAGGGAGTCTGGTGAGCAGAGCACAGCATGGGAAGAAAGTGACCGAAGCCTCTGACTTCCCTGTATGACCCAGGTGGCCCTGCTTCTCAGCACAGAGGAGGTCTCTCGGGTAGGGGCCAAGTGGTGGTGTGCCCAGAGCATGGGGTTTGGAGACAGGCAGGCCCAGGTTTCAATTTCATCTCTGCCTCTGACAATCTGTAAGAGCTGGGACAGGGCAATGCATCCCTTAAGCCTTAGTTTCCACACCTATGAAATGAAGACTGCTGTCTAATTCTCAGGGCTGGATAAAAATCTGACACGATTGTGCCCAGACATGTTGTGCAAACTCAACCAATGGCAATACTACCTCAGTGGATGCTGAGTTGACTGGGCATATCCGATTCCTCTTCAAATAAATAAATGTTTCATGTAAATATCTCTTCCAGGGAACCTTGTACTCCTGATGCCTGAAAATCGTAGTGAAGACTTATCACATTACCAACTCATTCAAAACCATAGGATTCAAAGAGAAAAAAAGAAAACGTCACACACACAAAAAAAAGCCAGATGCAGAGCTTCCTGGAGGCAGTCACACAGTGCTCTGCATATGAACACTGACCACACACAGCTGGTTGTTGACAATGCCCACGTGACAAGAAAGTCGGCAGGTTGTTCCTCATGAGGCCAGTGAACAGAAGTCATGGCTGAGACCATTCATAAAGATGGCAAGGACCACCTTCTAAGCGTGCCATAAATGAGGACACTGA